TAGCCAATAAAATGATTTTCCTAAAATTCAGGTCCAACTTTGTTGCCCCCCGCCCAACAAAACAAACAAAAACCTTCCTATGGTTCCCTAGTACCTCCAGGATCAAATACATAATCTTCTGTTTGGCATTCAAAGTCTCTCATAATATAGCCCTCCTTGACCCCCCCTTTTCTGTCTTCTTACACCTTATTTCCCACCATTTGATCCAGAGACAACCGACCTCCTTCTGGTCCACAAACAAGAATTTCCATCTCTCAGCTTCAAATATTTTCTAGGATGCTTTACCTTTTCATCTCTACGTCTTGGCTTCCCTGAAATCCCAACTAAAATCCCACCTTCTATAGGAAGTCTTTCCCAACCCCTCTTAATTCTAGTGCCTTTTCCTCTCAATTATTCCTAATTGAGTGTATTTCCAATTTATCCCACATATACCTTGTCTGCAAATAATTATGTATGTAATGGTTTGTTTGTTGTCTCCCCATTACATTGTGAGCTCCTTGAGGGCTGGGACTATCTTTTGCCCCTTTTTGTACCCTGAGCACCTGACACAGTTATGTGACACATAGTAGATACTCAATGTTTATGGAAGACATCTGGGAATATGTGAAAAGGCAGAGAGGTAGGGGCAATCCAAAATGGATGCTTCTCTCCTCCAAAACACTATAGGGTATCATGGAGCAATTAACAACAACATTTAAGAGAGTGGCATATCAAAAATCCAGCCTCTTACATTCATCCAAAAGTTCAGTTACTGTTTTAAAGATTTGGATCTCAGAATCATAGGTTTAGAACTAGAAGGAACCTAAGAAGTCTAGTCTAAACTCTTTACTTTTACAGATGAAGAAAATGAATTTCAGAGAAGTTAAGCAACTTGCCCAAGGTAACAGAGGTTTTAAGTAGCAGACCTAAGGAACTCTGACTCCAAATTCAGGGTTTTTTTTTTTGTTAATTAGAAGAGTGTATCAGGTAACTTGGGGCCCAGGCCTCTCTATAAATTCAACAAGGCCAAATAGATTAGAATTAGGGGATGTATGGTCAGAGAATAACGAAGTCAGATCTAGAAGAGGTAGGGCCAAGGTAAAATATAGGACGCTAGGGTTGTAGCAGAAATGCAGGATAAAACTTTGTATTACATCACTTTCAGTCCTGAGCAATCTGTATATACAAGGTTCCAATGAAGTTGTTTATTCTCAGTGTAAAGAAATGCAGGACTTTCTTGGATTAGGTTTCAAGATGGTTGCTTTGCCTGACAGATCAGAATAGATCTGTCATTAGATACCAGGCCTAATGCACCAGAACTTCAGACTTTGACCTAGCACCACCTGTACTGGGGCCTCAGACAGAGGCCTGACAGCATAAAGCATTAAAACATACTTCACATAGGCAATGTATTTTACAAATTACATTATGTTCTCTTATCACCATCTGGCTCAACCCAGTCCCTTTTTTATTCTGCTCACCTCTTCCATTATGTCCTTTGGAACCCCTATTCTATCATTAACACATTCCTCCTCTTTGTAGCTCTCCTTTTGACATGTTTAGTATCTATTTTCTTGTATTTATGGGAACCTTGGATCTTTACAGAAGATTACTTATCACTGGCTATCCTTTTCAGTGTTATTTCTTTTCTTAATATTATCTAAAATGGTGGCAGGTACATAGAAAAAAGGATAGATTTAACGGTGTTGTGAAGATTGAATTAAGCTCAAAGGAGAAAGGGTTTCTGAATGATGGTAGCAATGGGGAGTAAGGAATATGTTGACTCCCCACTGAACCCATAGACTGGGTTTGCCAAGACCCATGAAGATTCGGGAGGACCTCCCAGGGATCACAGAGACTTAAAGTCACAGAAACTTGGTGGTCTGGAATGTCTGCAGACACACATTTTCCCAGGATTCTCAGGTTTCTGATTGCTTTGGCCACAGGCAATTAGTGGAGGATTGGTGTGCTACTGCTAGTAATTGAAAGCAAGAGAATTTGCAGAATGTATGTATAGAGGAGGGGAGGGGAAGATAAGAGCAAAACAAATTCAGCTAAATAGCAGGGATGGATTGGATACAGGTAGAGGTGAAGAGCAGCTGAGCCTAGCAGAGATGCAGAAACCAGATTGTCTTGAACTAGTTGATAGCTTCAGCTAGTGAGAGCAGAGTGCAGTCCACAGTCTTTCTCTCCCTGCTTCCCTAGAAAGCTGCACTGGAGGAAGCTTTTGCTCATTTTATCTGTCCCATCACCTTTCTTTTTTGTCCCTCTCTGACCAACAAGTAAGAGGGAAATAAATCAACCTAGATGCAACATTATTGTAAGAATGGTGTACATTATGATGTTAATGTATAGCTGTGTTTTTTATGCTATTTGATACTAATAGCAATATTTGATACGTGGCAATAGTGAATCATCAAATACTTTTGAGAATGTGGAAGATTGTGATTGATGTGGAAGCATGGTCATAGAAAAAATGGTGGGAGAGGAGGGGATTCTTAAACTAATTGGAGATCAAGAAGGGTGAGAGTGCTGCATTTTATTATGGGGGAGGGGGGCTGTAATATCTGAGGATATTCAAAGACATACAGACCAGATTGCCTATGAATTTGAGTGGGTGTGGGGATATCAAGTACATCCCTTAGCTCTGTGGCACTGCATCTAGCTCTATATCTCATCACATTCATACATCCCTATAGAGAAAAGAAAAAAAAATATATTGTAACCAAATATTTCATCTAGCATAATAAAAAAGGTTGAGGAAGGGATATAAAATTTGAAAGGAAATAAATTGCTTGTCTCAGGGGAACCACAGTACTCCATTCCTAGTTGCTTTTGAGAAATGCACAATTAAAAAAAGAGCAAAAAATTCCTCAAACCCATATGACTTAATTTTGGATTATTGCCATGACATTTTCAAGATCAGAATTATGTATTTTCCTTCTCTCATGGGAATTCTCCAAAACTCAATTATGAAACAATGACAATTTACTTTAACTGAAACAGCCTAGCAAGTAACTGTATTTTACATGTTAAAAAATCATGAAAATTAATTTTAGAGAAATGGTTAAAATATTCTTTAATGGCACGATTTCCAATCAGTATGTTTCTCCACTGTAACTTTTAATAGCTTTTGGGAAACTATAACAAGATGGAATTATTTGAACAGTATCTGGGATAATCACCATAGATATACACTAAATAACAAATAAATTTGTGGCCAATTTCATAGTTGCTCAAATAAGGAAGAAAAAATGTTACCCAGTAACTGACAGTTAAATCAAACCTGAACTACACATACTGTGTGTTACTTGAGTATGTACAGGTACATCCCATGAACACATCCAGAGCTATAGAAACAAGTACAGTCCTATTAAATCAAAACTGTAGTGTCTATCAATATACATAATCCTCTCATATTAAAAAGAAAAGAAGCTTACGATGGTCAGAAGATGTCATTTAAAGATAAAATAGAATAAGCAACCTGATCTTTCTCATGTATGGAACTCCAAAACATCAAAAAAGCTTAACTTCATGTGACTTTCTTGATATGGAACAAAACAAAATAAAACTAATCTCTTCCATAGTTGGATGAATATTTTCCTTTCATTGTAAAACGTCAAATCAAATGGACATTATAGTCTTTCACTCTTTTTTACGTAAAAAGAAGGCTTTGCATTCCAACTACCAAGAAAAACTCTACATCAGTTCAGGGTAAGTATCAAACCACACACAGAGAGATGCTTTCAAGTACCTTAGGAACGATTCAGCCAGTTGTTTGAGATATGTTTGTTTATCCTGATAATTGAATGGGACCCAAGAAAATAAACAGGCAAAGGAAATGACCCAAGTTCATGGGAATTCCTAAACTTGAAAGAGAACTGCTTCAGCATTGTTAGGATCTCATTAATAGCTTTTTACAGCAAAGCTTTCTTAGTGAATCATATGCTAATAGGCAATATGCTTTTATTATTATTTTTTGAACCTTCAAATAATTGGTTTACTTCATATAAATTTATGGAAAGGCCAAAACAGAAAATATGACTGACACTTATGTGTGTGAATACATATATACACACACACACACATACATACACATATACACATGTGTGTATGCATGTATGTATGCATTAAAACACACAAAGATAATCAGAGATGTCTTCACACTCAGTACTATTCTTGAGGGATGAATAAAATAGGGATGATATGGAAGGTGAGGCAGATAGCTTCTTTTCTGGCAATTACCTTTTAAATACCTCATTCTCATGTGACATATTTACAAGAATGGAATGGGGACAGTGTTGATCCCATGGCTATTTAAACTACGTAAACTACGAGAGTGTAACATACATCAGTATCATCTGCAGACCTCAAACAGGTTACAAATCAGAATGTGAATTGGTCTTGCTAATAACACAGAAGAGAGAAATTTGGCTGCAATCTATTTTCTAATTTATGTAATCTAGTTCAAAGTACTTAAAAAAAAATCTTGGTGCCTCAGTTTACTCATCTGTCAAATGTAAACAATATTAATTTATTTACTTCTGAGAACTACTGGGAGGATTATTGACTGGTTTTTAAAGCACTTTGAGCTCCTCAGATGAAAAGCACTTTGGAAAATGTTTATCTTGAGGAGAACTCTTCTAGCGCCTTATAATTGTAATCCAAATTTGTATCTTAAATTTTGATATTACCTAAACATCTGGAAAATATATTTTAGTAGAATTTCATAAATTCACTTAATTTGGGGGGATATGAATTTTTTTACTTATAGCTTTTAAAGAATTATCTTTTAAAAGTTCTCTTATACTGCATATGTACCTTAAAGAATAATAGAGTTTTGCAAGGAAAAAGAACTGAACTAGAATATTACTTGTGTGAAACTAGAGTTTTTTTTAATGAAAAAAACAAAACTGAAAATATGTCATAGTGTCTATATATTCAAGTGAATACAAAGATTTTTTTCTGACAAAAAAAAAACACCAAAAAAACACTGTAGAAAAGAAATGTACTTCTTAAATTATGCCCAATGAAGTTTTTTTTAAAGTGATGCTTCAAACATTAGAATAAAATAATTAGAGGTAATAAATTATAAACACAGTAGTTAGTCATTTGTTTGTTTTTTAAACATTAGTTATCTAAGTTAAATTCAACAAAATCTAAATTTGTAGTTAGAATGGCCTCGATGTTACTGTGAAACACAGTCTTTTGTTTTTTATTCTTACATAAAATAAATTTTTTGGTGCATATATTTAGTTAACTAATTGGATTCCATTGGATAATGAATCTTTATACTTAAATTAACTTAACAGTTTTATGATTGTTACCATAGACCTCTCAAGTCTGCCTTAGTAACCATTCAGATACCATATAGGGTGGTATCTGAAAATTTGAAATGAACTCATGTAGGTTAGGTCTGAATATTTAAAAAAAATAAAAATAAGGTGCTTTTAAATACAAATATTTCCTGCCCCATTAAAATTGAAACATACTTAAACCTGAAACCTCTGTGTCTCAAACATATTGAATTTTAACAAGCATCAATTTTGTGCCATTAAAGTTCCTTCAAAAGTTCAGATTGGATCTAACTTTGGCTTTGCATCATTGTCTTGTTCATGTTTGTACATGAAAGTTAAAAGAAAGAGGGCAATATCCAAGGATGACCAATATGCAGTATGTGATGTTACAGCTGACCAGTATCGGCTTTCCACAAGGCCTTCTCTGAGTTCAAAATCAATCCTGTGATCCAGTTCCACTAGGAAAAAAAAATAAAAGTCACAATTTTATTAAATGAATCTCTGCAGAATCTTATTAAATAAATAACTGAAGATAAAAAAATAATTAATTGAAGTGGATCTTAAAACTTTTAATCTGAGGTTTCTATATTTCCTTCCCCCGATATACCCAAATAAAAACCATATAAACAAAAAATTTCACACTACTAAAATGAGAGAGGTACTTTTTCTTAGTCAACAGAAAATGATGATAGAGGAGAATGCAACAAAAACTATTGCTAATTCATTTGAAATGAATAATGGATGAAATGGTGAAATAAATATGAGAATAGTAATGACACTCAGAGGGAAACTTTATTCTTTATTCTATTTGTCAGCTGATTGTTTATTGCCCAGGCCAATTTCTAACTTCCAAAGTTCCCTTTAATTCTAACTTTGACAGACACTTAACAAACAAATTTCAAGAGAATTCAATTAGTCTTGCTTTATTATACTTGTAAGCTCCTTGAGAGTAGGGGGACTATTTTATTTTTTGTCTTTCTATCACCAAGGCCTAGCACAATGCTTGGCACACAGTAGGCACTTAATAACTGCATTTGTGTGTATGTGCAGCATATACACACACACATTTTTACCACTCTGGCAATTGCTTTTTTGTCTTAAAGAAAGTTCTCTTACTACTCTGTACATATGTTCCATCAGTAGAAAAAGTTGAGAAACATTGTTCATATATTACCAGAATAAGATATACTTTAAATATTTAATATCTGCCAAAGGAAGTTTAACATATTTTAAGTGTAAGATTAACTTAATTCGATTCACTTAACGTATTTGATGACTCATACCATTTATAATGGGAAATACATTTTCCGGGATAAAATTCTCACCCGATTAATTAACCATGAAAACAGATCAGCAAAATTGGATTACTTCTTACTCTAGGTATCTAGTACTTTTTTACTGGGAGACCCCCTATTTGTTCCTCACCTGATTTTTAAAATCCCTAGTTTCCTTTAAGACTCAGTTCAAAAGCTAACTTTTGCAAGAAATATTTCCAGAGGCTTTCTTCGTTGCCTTCTCCCAAGATTGTCCTGTATTTGTTTTGTATATACTTACATACATGCATGCCGTTTCCCTCTTCTAAACTATTTAACAAGAGGGGTTTGTTCTGTATTTCCAGCATGTGGCATAAGTAGCACTTACATAGATGCTTGAATTGACAAAATGCAAATATGATAAGGAATTTATAGTCTATTAGTAGAAATGTACATGTACACACATAGGTATATACAGAATAATTACAAAATAAATACAAGGTAGTTCAGAGTGGCAGTTAAAGGGATTACTAAAATGCTTGAAAGCCAATTTGGCTAGAATGTAGAGTAGATGAAAGGCAGTAATATATAATTACACTGGAAAAGTAGGTTGGGGCCAAGTTGTGAATTTTGGCTTTAAAAGATAAACAGAGGGGTTTCTATTCTAGAGGCAATAGGGAACCTGGAAAAACTGAGTACACATTGACTGATCTTCAAATGAACAAAGGAGAATCCATATTCATCCATATAATTAAATACTACTTTTATCCTTCGCTAAGTTATTTCTGGTTTTCCTGATAGTTTGAGAAAATGAATACATTTCAGTTGGGCAAATATTTGACTCCCAAAGAATATGTTTGTTTTCTAAGATCATATCATTATGAAGATATTTATGAAAATATTCTCTCTCCCTTAGTCACCCTTTGTTTTTAAACCTATTCCACTTGGAAATAAAATAATTTGACAACTTCGTTTGTCTGAAAGACATTTCCTCGTCCCACTTAACTTGAAATGTATTCAAACATAATGTATTGATCTGAAAATGGGTCGTAACTTTCACTTGAAATTAAGTTTGTATAAAATCAAAGTGTGGCCTTTAAGTGAATATAAGCACACAAACACACTCTTCCTAAAGAAATTTTCATCTCTAAGGTGAATTCAGGGGCAAGTTTTATTCAGGCCAAGATAGCAGTATTTGAGATCTCTGGATGTAAATTCATTGCATAAAGGTTTAGCTGGAATAAATCTTTCTTTAATGAATTCCATTGTTTGTTTCAGTGGAATTTATGTTTTTAAAAATCACTGTTAGAAATCACATTCCTAGCCTACAGAATATAAAGTTCATCTTCTCTAATAAATGAAAATAGTTTGAGCTTATTAAGGGAAGAAGGGAGATGTCATGGACACACAATTTTTCCTTCTCTGAGTTCCTAGGTCATTTTGGTGGTCAGTTTGGGAAGTTAAGTAGCTGAGATAATTGAAGGGAGGAAGCAAAGAGACAGGTGCCACTTGATGGCAAGACAAACAAGTATATAAACTCAGTATTCCTTTTATCACCTACAACACAAATAGCACACAATTAAGTTAATTCCTTATGGAAGGCATTGCCTCATTATTACAGGCAGAAGAGAGAAATACTTTAGAGGTTCTTTCTTTGTATAGATTTCACTGTCACTACATCAAAACAGCATTATTGGCACGGAGAAATGTAAATGTTAGGTAAAATCCCTTGTAATAATGATTGCTATTATATAAAATGGTCTCATATATGTCAAGGGAAGGAGAAGGGGATGTATGGAAAATTAAAAATACAGAACAAATTCTCAAAATTATAACAATCAAATGATGACAGTGTAAAGTTGAACTGGAGGTCAAATTAACCAAAGAAAAAAAATCTGGACTCTGTCATACGTGTGGTAAAACCCAAGGGAGAAAAGAGAAGACAGCAGGTGGGAGAAAAAGGAAAAAAAATTGTTACATACATCAAGATTTTAATCTTAGAATATGCTGAAAAAATCAAGAGCTTCTGAGTTTATTTTGCTACAAGCTATATACTTCCCTTTACTGTATTTAAGAAACAACTATAATGAAAAGATCAATCATCAATGTCATACATGTAACTCCAAGCATCAGTTAAACAGCTCTGTGTACATCTCTGAGTATATAATGTATTCTGTCTATATGCATTAAGTTAAAAAATTATTTTGAAGGCTTTTAGGAAAATGGAAAAGGAGGAAAAAGGAAGGAAATTTTGATTTTTTTTTTAACTTAAAGGTATCTCTCTTCCTGGAGGAACATAAGAAAATTCGTAATTTTCGTCCATTAAAGATGGTTAATAATTATAAAAGGGTTCATACAACTGTTATTAAAAAGTACATATAAAATCATATTTGTAGTAACATCCAAGCTGATTTTACAATAGAAAAGTATTAATCCAGTTTTCATCATAGTAGAACATTTAAGTGGATCATTTTCAGATTATTCTGAATGCTATTTCTGATATGTACCATACTGAGGGAATTGTCTTTACTTTGCATTTCATATCCAGGAAAAAGAAGTTGCGGGAGAATGATTTCCTGTAGTCTAAAATCTGGGGGGGGGGGGGGGGGGGGGAGGAGAAAAACCCCTACAAAGCACTGCAAAGTGTTGGCTGTTAAAATGGCAGCCACAGATTTGGAGACCGAAAATTAGTACAGTGGTTCAAATTCTGTATGACTGGCATACTGTTGGAAATAAGGTTTTTTTGAGAACATAACTGACTCCATCTTGTTCTATATTGGCTACTTTGCTGTACGTGACCCCTCATGAACCGCAAAACCAGCTCCTTCAGTGTCTTCTTTCCTCTTCTTTTCTATACAAAAAGACTTAGTTGCTGAAGGTGGAGGATTCCAAAGTCCTTGGAATGTCCTTTTCCTTTGTTAGGCCTGAGTTTTCACCGATTTAGCAAAACTAGTGATGCTAAGAAAATAACTAACTCCATTATCTCCTGTAGAAAATGATATAAATTTTTCTTTAAACAAGTATACTATTTTTCTTTGTATGGCCACTTGCATTTTAATGAATCTTTCTTTTTCTTTATTTCATATAATGGATAACTATTGCTTGCTGAATTGTGAATGATGCATTCCCCATCAACTGCTGGTGGAGAACACCACACTCTGTGTATAATGAAACGTGTTTCCTGGTTTGTTCTGGCTTACTGACTTCAGATAGAATTGATTAGAAAATTCCTGTGACAATACATACAAGAGTACAAGTTGTATTACCGTGGAGCATCCTTTATTATAGAGTATATAATAAAGTATTAAAATGGAAAAATTTCAAGATACATCTACAAGTTCTCTAAGTCAGCTGGAGGGCAGATAAGAATAGAATTATAGAAAACAGCTATCTTTCTTCATGGAATATTACTAATCAAGCAGAATGCAAGAACTGAAGCAATCAAGCCACTGGAAAGAAGGAAATAATCTTCTAAAGTAGATCAAGAATATCTAGATTTGTTAACAGACAACAGCAAGTTTTAATAAAGGTTAAGGTGTTTTTCAAATTTATTTTGCCAGCCTAAGCTTCAAATTGATGACAACAAACAGACAACTGAGGTTAGGCTTCAAAGAAATACCCACATTGATCAGGAAAGTGAATGCCTTTGTTTTCTCATATTAAAGAAATCCAAAGCTGGCCTCTGAACTAAGATCCCCAAGCTGGGGCAAGTGAAATGGGTAGAAGGGAAGAACAGAAACAAAATAAAAACCCTATGATCATAGTTTCCAAACCCAAGATAAAGAATGTAAAGAAGATTTTTTCTATGATAATCAACAGATTTATAAGCTAGTCCCTAAGTGACAAAATATCCAATGAAGACATGATGAATATATTTTTAAGCAAATCAAAGAGTTTGGCAACTCTGAAAGATTTGGTTAAAGAAAAAGTTTTAGCTTCAGCCAGAAGGCCAGAAACAGAGAAAACTACTTTAGTAAATATGTTGAAAATAATGTTACAAATAGAACTATATTACTATACTTGGGCATACATTTAGCTGAGTTCATGGATGACAGAGAGCTTGGGTTGACAATGCAGCATAAGTCAAAAAATTTACAAGCAAGATCACTGGAGAATGTATTAAGTTGTTAAAATACAATTATATATTGTATTGAAGGGGGCAACCAGGGAGAGCAGTGGATAGAGAGCTGGGTCTGGAGTCAGGAAGACCTGAGTTCAAATCTGGCTTCAGACACTTAATAGGTGGGTGACCCTGGGCAAGTCACTTAACTCTGATTGCCTTAGTTTCCTTATCTGTAAAGTAAGCTGGAGAAGGAAATAGCAAACCACTCCAGTATTTTTGCCAAGAAAACCCCAATGAGCTCACAAAGAGTTGGACACAACTGAAATGAACAACCACCACAACACTGACTTGAAGAAGATTACTCACCACTGTTCATTGTTGCTATAGAAAAAGCAAGGTTAATTGGAGGTGGCCATTAGTTTCATTACATTATTTTGGAGTTTACATTGAAAGTCAGTTAGGTGGTGCAGTACGTAGAGTGCTAGGCCTGGAATAAGGAAGATTGGAGTCCAAATTTGGCCTCAATTACTAGCTTATGTGATCCTGGGCAAGTCACTTAACTTCTGTCTGCCTCGGTCTCTTCATCTGTAAAGTGGAGATAATAAAAGCATCTACCACTCACAGTTGCTGTGAGAATTAAATATTTGTAATGTGCTTTGCAAACATAAAAGTATTGCTTAAATGCTATTATTATTTTAGGGGTTAGTTATCATAAATGTGTTTTAACAGTGATTTAAGCAACTGTGATTTATAAAACTCTTTGCCACCGCACTTTTGAATAAAATTATTTTGTCACTTGCATGATATAACAATAACTTGTTCTTTCACATTTGCTGCTACAGTTCATATTTTCAAAGAAAGAAAAATAGTAGTTTGATTCACCAAACCACAAAATACATTCTGTTGTAAGTAACAAGAAAATTTGCTGTATTGAAATTTATAATTGTGAAATAAGCTGCCCAGAAATTACCTGAAGACCTGCCATTCGTTACAAAATTCAGGTGCAGTCTGACATAGGCAAGCACAACCTAAAAACAGCAGCACTGGCCAGATAGAAATATTAAACCATAATTAGCTACAGTGCATGTTGAATAGGGGCTAACTATTTAAGGGAAGGTCCTGGCTCTAGGATCTGCACAAATGAATTTGTTGTAACTTTATGTAATAACAGTAAGAATAACAATAATAAAACTGCATTCATATTTTAAGGTTTGTAAAGCATTTTATAAACATCATGTCATTTGATGCACAGAATTTGAGAGTCAGAAGGAATCTCTGTGGCCATTTAGTTCAACGCATATATCAAAGAAATGCTTATGAAAATATATCCAACAAGAGGTCATTTAGTGTCCGCTTGAAGACCTCCAAGGAGAAGGAGCCCATCTCTTCTCTGGACAACCCATCCCACTTTGTGATAGCTTCAGTTGTTAGGAAAAATTTCCTGACATCAAGCCTAAATTAGCCTCTTTGTAACTTCTACCCATTGCTTTTGGTTCTGCCTTCTGGGGCCAAAATGATAAATTCTAACCCCTCCTCCACATGACATGTCCTTCATGAGTCTTTTCTTTAGGCTAAACATGCCTTGTTTCTTCAACTGATTTTCCTATATCATGGACTCACTCAATGTTCTTCAAAATCATTATCCTCCTTTGAACACTCGCCCCTTATCTATATTTTTACTGTGACTTTCAGCATTGAACACAATACTCCAGATAAGGTCAGGGATTGGGAGCGGGGACAAAGTACAGTGGGACTATCATCTCCTGATTCATGAAAGTCAGGCCCCTAATTAATGCTACCCAAAATGAAAAAAAAAATTTCAATGTCATATAGATCTTTTTTCCAACTACTGTCTATCCATGTCTCCTTCATCTTTTATTTGTGAAACTGACTTTTTATATCAAAGTGTAAGACTTTACACTTAACTCTACTGATTTCTTTTTATTAGACTCATAGCCCCATTCTCTAGCCTTGCAAAATCCTTTGCGATCTGAACTCTGTCATTTAGTGTGTTATTTAAACTTCTCAACTTCGTATCTGCAAATCTGATGAACCACCATCTATGTCTTTATTTAAGTAATTGATTAAAATAGTAAACCAAAGTTTAAGCAGAGATCCTTGAAGGAGTCCAGACACTTCTTGCCAGGTGAACAATGAACCACTAACAACTACTCTGAGTCTGGCCATCCAACCAGTTCTGAATCTGTATTAGCTTAATGTCTTTTTCTCTTAAATATAGCAAAAAATGTTGCCCATACTGTAAACTATGAATCAATAAAAGAATTATGGTTCAAGTATCTGAAATTCTATTTGTACTGAACCTTCTTGAGGAAGAAAGCAGTCTTTCTCCTCTTGCTCTTTTGCTGTGACTATAACTGGGTACAAAGTTTCAGAATCCATTCTTCCTTACGTGAAAGGGTAATGAGAAAAGAGAACTTTAATTACATAATTTTAAAAGTTAAAATACTTGTCAAATTTGTATACTGAGGAATACCTTTTCTATATGTATGTTTATATCCAGAGGCAATGTAGTATAATAGCATTAAGTCAACCTCAGAGTCAAAAAGACTTGAGTTCAAGTCTTGCTCCTTACACATCTAGCAGTGGGACCTTCTGCACGTCGTTTTGCCTCAGCATCCCAGGCAACTCTCTCTGACTCTTAAGTTGCAGAACAATTACCAATTGCATTAGTAGAAGGGGCTTTCTTATACTGAGGAAATCACAGGTCCAGAATCTTTCATCTCCCCCTAAAACAAGTTCAGAATTCTGGTCATGTAAAAGTAACCTTTAAGCATGTGCTTAAGGTTCAAAATCACATGACAATGATAAATTAGATAAGAATATATAAGTTAAGTTTCAATCTAGCCTAGATCTTATGCTATATCCATGGTCTAATAACTGTATCTCACTTTTATTGATGATATGCAGTTAAGAGAACTACTTGCCAAATTTTGCTCTGTCATTTCCAAGCCTGGCTTTGAATCTATTCAATTTTTAGACCTTAAAGTCAAGTTGGGTAAAATCAGGCCAATAATAGAAACTATAGACTTGAGGCAGACTGAATTGGAAGTGAAACACAACTCAACATAAGATGTACCATATATTGAAGAAATTACAATAGATTGCAGAATTTTTAGTACCATTGTACATGTCCTTTAAAACCATCTACCATATGATATGAGGCTCAATAATAATAATCACTTGTTAAAAATGTGCTATGAGACCCCATGAAACTAAAGTTCTTAACTATTTGACTTTATAACTATAAAGAAAAATAGCAAAAAACAAACCTATCTAGAATTTTTTTTTTTAAATTGAAGGGAAGGTCTGACCCCATCACTCCCCTTCTCGAAAACCCTAGTGATTCCCTATTGTCTTAAGGATAAAATGTAAACTAGTCTGTTTGTCCACCTACAACCTAGCCCCCACCTATTTTTTCAGCCTTTTTATATATTACTTTACATTCTATGGTCCAGCCAAACTGGCCTCACACATGACATGCCATTTCCCATCTATCTCTGACTGAAATGGATTGCTGCTTCTTCCTCCCCTCATGCACTACCATTTCACCTCTTAGTATTTTGTTTTTCTCAAAATCCAACTGAATTGCCACCTCTTACATAAAGCCTCTCCTAATCTCCCCTTGTTACTACTGCCCCACCCCACATTACCTAGTATTTATTTTGTATATGTATCTGCATATGTATATGTTGTCTTCCCCAGTAGAAGGCAAGCTCTTTTAGGGCAGGAGCTGTTTTATTTTTGTCTTTCAATCTGCAATGCCTAGCATAGTGCCAAGTACAAAGACAGATGCTTAGTAGATATTTGTTGATCAATTGACCAAAAATTGATAAAAAATGTTCATTGTTTTTAAACTATAACATTCTTTAGATCATAAATATAACTGTTCATATTAAAGTTTCAATTTTACCCCAAAATTAATTTAAGAAGTTACTTGAAAAGAATAAGCAAAGTACAGTGTACACTAACATGTAGAATCGAGAAAGCCAGAACTGCTGTGTGGAAAAGTCTGTGTGGCCATAGTGGTGCTGACTGGTAGGGTGACAGACTTCTTTTCTTCTTCTGTTACTTCTTTTGATGTGTCAGATGGCTGTGATGTGGATGAACTACTAGAACGTCCAAATCTTGAAAACAACATTCCTCCAAGACCTTTCCCAATGCTAGCAGCTCCTACATTTCACAAAAATAAGACAGTCATCCTGTATGCTGAATCATACCCTACCAAAATAGAGTTAACAGCTCCACCCATCAATTACAGTCTGCTGGAAGATAGGTTGGAATATTAGTCATTTTTTTCCCAAAGTGGTAATAAACATTCAAAAATACAATTCTTACTTGTAAGTTTCTAAATGGAGTTACTATTGCATAAGATGAAAACTTTAACTTGTTCTAAGGCACTTATGATAAAGAGTTTTAATGATAAGGTTTTTATGATAAAGAGATATAGGAATTGTTTTATTCAAGCATTTGCTGACTAAATTACATTTGGGATCAGAATATTTCTCACAAAATACTTTACGTGAAGCTATATTAATACTTTGTTGTAATACATACATGTGCCATTAAAAACTTGGTATAAAGTAACATGCAAGTCTGAATTTATGATGTATCACTTTAAAGTGTGATAATATTAAAGCTTTATTTCTATAAAAACGTGCTGAATTGATTTCATACCTACATGTAAGGGATTACCTGTAAATCACAGTCACAGAACTTTAACTCTAGAAGACACCCTTTATTAATTCCTTGAAGCAAAGACTACAAAACCTAACTAGAGGCTACTCAATATAAACTATTAACTCTTGCTGTAGAAACTCAAAATAGTATAGCATATTTTTTCATAAGTACTTAAACAAAGCGTACTTGGTAGCAAACAAACCATATCTCCAATCAGGGAACAAAAATACTCATGAGAAATTACCTAATATGCTGGCTTTGCCTATATTTGTTATAGATTCCCCATAATGTCGTCGAGACATGACAGGTGAAGTCACCGGGCTTGATGCTGCTGACAAATTTTCATTCTCTGATGCTGAGGTAGGTTCTTTTGCAGGGTTGAGAAAACTTGGCTTCATATGTTCATAAGGTAGAGGATTTGTAGTATTATACCAATGGATTTGGACAGGTGAAATGTTGCTATAATGTTTCAAAATTAACGGTTCTAATCTATAAGCCTTGATAGAAAAATTAAAAAAACAAAGATTTTAGAAGGTATCATAAATAACAGTAAGATTTAATTTTTAATACAGAAACTGTTCATTATTAATATTACGCTGAAACAGACTTTTAAAGGGTAAAAACTAATGTAATTTTTTCCTAAATTTTACATGGTTCATTTAACATCACATCATTTCTGACTATCTCTTTCTACCCTTCCTCCCCAGCACACTGTCCTTTATAACAAAGAAAAAACTGTTCAACACAAACAATCAACACATAAATTACTTCAGACAGTCCCCTATGTCTTCAAAGAAGGGACGGTGATGCATTTCCTCATCTCTTTCAATTTGGGGACAAAGCCCATTAAGTTTGTTGAAATTTGTGGAAGGTACTAAAACCGCTCTTAGCTTCAGGCTATATGTATACTGCTGCCCTGGACACATTAAACTTTTAGTGTTATGATTTTTATTTTTTATTTTTTTGCTTTTTGGTGAGACAATCAAGGTTAAGTGACTTGCCCTGGGGTCACACAGCTAGTAAGTGTCAAGTATCCGAGGGCACATTTGAACTCAGGTCTTCCTGATTCCAAGGCCAGAGCTCTATCCACTGTACCACCTAGCTGCTCCTAGCATTATGATTAAACAACTAAAACTACTAGAGGTTACAAGAATTGGTAATTAATGAAAGTATTAAACTTTTCTCTTGAAAAAATTTCCTTTTTCATAAGGTGAATGTCTTGGTGCTAAAACTACAGTTGACTGTAACAATCTCAGAGAACTTCTATTCCAACCAAATATGAACAAAAACTTCCCTAAAATATACTTGGCAAATGGTCATTCAGCTTTTGCTTAAAGATTTCCAGTAAAGAAGAACCCACAATGTCCCTAAGGTAGTTTATTCCATTCATGGAGGGCTGTTTGGCAGTTTTTCCTTACACCTTTCATTTGTCTCTTGGCAATCTTTACCAAAGGCTCTTACTTCTGTTCTCTGGATCCAAGCACAGTAAGTCTAAACCTTCCTCCATAAAATAGCTTTCCAAATACCTGAATGTAGCTTTCGTGTTCTCTCTGTAAGTCTTCCCTTTTTTTGTGCCAAACACTTCCAGGCTTTCAAAGAATCCTTATATGGAATGATCTTTAGGCCTGTCACCATCCTGGTTACCCCTCTAGTTTGTCAAAATTCTTCCCAAAATGTGTTAACTAGAGCTGGACACAATACTCCAGCTGTGGGTTGATCAGGGCACAGTTTAGTGGTATTATCAAGTGGGATTATCAAACATTTCCTCATTTCCCAGTAGGTGACATTCATTTTGGACTTCTTGTCTTACAAGATCCAATCAGCCTTGGAACTCACACTTCATCTGTATCGCTGCCCCTTTGATTGGAAAGTGGAGCCATGACATCCTCAATCTCCATTCATTTAAGGAGGGAAGACAGGAGATACATCTCCTCAGTTCCCATCTGGCTACTCTCATTTGGGCAACATTTTGTACTTCCTTGGCTTCTCTACCAATCCCCAACTGACTCCTCTCATTGTATTAGAAGCTCCCTGAGGGCAAGGACTGTCTTTTTTTTTCCCCCACTAAGCACAGTAAGTGCTTAATAAATGTTTAATTATTATAAAATTCCTAGAACTGAACACTTTTAAATAGCCTAAGTTTGTGTTAGCTCTTTTTGATATCCTATCACACTGGTGACTGACATTGAACTTGCAGTACACTAAAAACCACATATTTTTACCAGAGGAATTGTCTAGCCATGCTTCCACTATCTTACATTTATAATGTTCAATTTTTGAGCTTGTGTGAGGCTTAAGTTTACATCTATTCCTAATTCATTTCACAAAATATGTTAGCTATAGGTTATAAAATACATTAGCTCCTAGCTTTGGGTCACCTGTCAATTTGATAAGCAAGCTATGCTTATATAACTCACTGGCAAAAAAGTCAAAATATCACAGGTCCAAGCACAGATCCCTAGGGCATTTCATTGCAGACTTTCTTCCAAGCTAATGTCAAACTATAAGAGACTACTCTTTGGATACAGCCATCAAAAAATTTCTGAATTCATCTAACTTTAAATCTAGATATTTAGTTTATACCTCCCCATCTTTTGCATAATAGAATTACAGAAGAGTAAATACTATGCTAAAATATAGGCAAACTATATCTATCTTCAGTACTCTCCTGATCAACCATTCTTAGTAATGCGTTCAAAAGAAGGAAATGAAATTAATCTGGTGTATCCTGTTTCTGATGAAGTAATTTTGCCTTTTTGTAAATCACTGCTTCCTTTTCATGAAATATCCCTTTAATGAGTGCCAGAATTTTGCCAGAAATCAAAGTAAAGCTCAATTGTCCTACAGTTTGTAGATTCTATTATCTCTTCCATTTAAAAAAAAAAAAACACCTGGGACACATGCCTACATCTAGTCCTGTAGTATGTATCTTGTATTCCTTGATCTTTCAAAGATCACCAACAGAAATTTCATCTTCCAGTTCTTTCAGTACTGTGGGTTCATCTGGAGTTGGTGACTTGAACTCATTAAGAGAGTTAGTTCTTCTTATATTCTTATTTAGGATTGAGTATTAATTTAAAAAGCAAAGATTTAATTAAGAAGCTCTGATTTCTCTCCATCAATTATCATCATTCCATCTAACCCAAGAAACAGTTTATTCCTTTTTCAGTTCTCTCCCCAAAATAGGTAAAATCACACCCCCTCCCCAACCTTTTTGTTGTCTTCAGCTTTCCTCATTAGATAATTCTTTCCTCTCAACTAATTCTGAACTTTATTACACCTGGCATTATTTTTAAAGAACCATTCCATCCTTTTATATGATTCCTCATTACCTGTTCTTGTCTTTATACTCTGTACATGTCTTTTTAAAAAAATCTAAGTTGGTTGATACATTTTCCATGTATCCAAAATACTTAAGACCACTTCATTTTTTTCTCCTTATCCTAACTACTTCTCTTAAGGTCTATAGAATTTCATTCTTGAGAGCTGCCTATCTTTCATGGGTTGACTTCTCCTGTAGAATTTTAGACTACTGGATAATTATTCTTTCCCTAAACTCTCCTCTTCCGAAATCTCAGGTAAATGTCAGACTGTACTTGATTTTCTTCTGCCTTTCTATGACAAACTTTAAGTTGGAATGGTCACTGCCCCTAAGACTTCCCATGATTTTCACTCCTTGTTGGCTCCTCCAACTTTGGAAGGATGAAATCATCATTAACACAAATCAAAAAGAAGCTGCTCTACTTTGGGCAGAAAGCATCCTATTATAGATGTCTAGATAACTGAGGTCCTCCAATACTGATTCTGTTTCTGCTTTTGTTGACCTTCATTAAAATGCTCTCCATCATGATTACTCTAGCTGGCTCTTGGATTTCCTCACCTGAATATACCTTTTTAATATATAAAGCTATACTGTCTTCCCCTTTCTATTTATCCTGATCTTGTTGAGCAAGGTTTATTTCTTTCTTTTTTTTTCCCCCCGACTAGGAAACGGGGTTAAGTGACTTGCCCAAGGTCACAGAGTGTCTGAGGCCGGATTTGAACTCAGGTCCTCCGACTCCAGGGCCGGTGCTCTATCCCCTGTGCCACCTGGCTGCCCCCAGTAAGGTATATTTCAAAAATCACATTCTACAGTAGTGTGTGAATCGAACTCAGGCAAAGGAAAATAATATTTACTGACATACAATTAGCCTTACAACTTTTGACATCTTAAAAATACTTCTAATATGCCATATATGTTTTTCTTTTGCTGTAATCACTTGTTCTATACAGCTTGGCATTCAGTTCACAAGATTTTGTCATATATTCTTTTAATTCTTCATCATGAAACCACATTTTTTATTACATTGGATATTAAGCATATCTTTGATGAACAGTCCCTTGATTATATCTTATGGATTTTTAATGAGGTTCAAATCAGGGAGCTCCCTGGCACATTTCAACATGTTTTATCTTCATTGTTTAGATAAATTTCTTAACTTTTTTGATATGTGGTATGGTGCAAGGTGTAGTATTCCATCTCAATTTGGGAATTTATGTAATTATACAACAATTCTTCTTCTCAGTATATCAATATATTGATTAGCATTCTCTCATTAGGGACAAGAATTCCAGGCACATTATTAAAAAAAAATCCCATTTTTGGGAGGTGGAGCAGGGGTTGGGGAAAAGAGAAGATGTCTTTCAGCAGTCTGATGAAGATTCTGAGATCTTAAAAGGATCACCTGGACTTATGATAATAGTTTTGATTCAACATTAAATGAAAAGTGAGCTTCACTTTTCAAAAATTACTTTTTTCAGTTTTTGTCACTTTCAATCTTTGTATTATCCTGCCCATGGCAAATATTTTTTATTTGCAGCAATGGTTAGTAGCTTTTTTAAAAATGGTATTCTACACTGTTCTTCCAGTTTCAAGCAGTCTTTGCCATTACTGTATAGGAATCAGTAACAACTCTGTAAAAGACCTTGTCCTTTTGAAGGTCTCTGCTTGTTTTCTAAGAATCTGACTATTTTGCAGCAGTGGTTTGTCAGTTCTTGGCACTGTTTTTTCATTTTCAACTGCATTTTCCTTGGTACTTAGATCTTGTTTCAGTGTGGGCTTGAATGATCCTTCAATGCCACAAAGCTTCCCCATATCAACAGCTATTATAATACACATATACTGTTATATGAATAACTATATGGTAAAATTTGTCTATCTGAATTAGCAATGAATTATAAATTCACTTTATTTGTTACTTCTACCTTATGCATTTATGTATAGACTTTTGAGGTCATGGATTTTATTGCTAGATCCTTTATTGGAATTTATCAGCTGTGAATTTCTGTGTATCTTTACTGCTATTCTTAACCACATTTCAAAGAGGATGCGTCATATATTCAGTATCAATTAGTGATAAGAAAAATGCAACAAACAGTTAAAAATTGGGCTCCACACATTGATGGGTTACCATTCCTGAGAGCAACCTCAATTTCAATTTTGAAATTATAATATAAATCTGCAAATTCTAACATTTTTTTTTATTCTGGCCTAAATATCTTTACATCTAATAAATTAAATATACATTCTAGGTAGAATCTTTTTTCTGCAAAACTGCTACAAATATAATCTGAGGGTTGAAATAATTTTAGGTAAAGTTAGAGTTTCTATCAAAGTGTCACAGTTATTCAATAATAAATTTAACATTGAGAGTAAAGTTTGTAACTCCAACTCACAACTGGATCTGTGGGATGAAAAATATTTAATAACCGGTTACATATGATTCTAGGCAAAATATGGTCTTGACTTCCACTGTTCCCTGGACGGATGCCACGTAATGCCAAAAAAACTGCTAGTGGGGATCCCATGCAGAAAAAATTCTCAACCTAAAAGAAAAAATAATTAATCCTAAATAAATCATATTTGAAGGAAACAAAGAAAAACAATTTAATCCATCCTCTTTCTTTTACAGATAAAGAAACTGAAATCTAGAGATGGATGATAAACATCGTCTCAAGGTCACACAAAGATTTACTGGAAAAATTGGTACTAGAACCCAGGATTCTTGGCTCAATTACAATACAGAACATTATTCATTCTTAAAAAGTATAGATTTTAGGTAAGAAATTTACTGAGGACAGAATTTTTTCAAAGAGATGATACTGTTGTTTGGATTTGTTATCTCTCACCTTCAAATACTGCCATCTTTGAAAATAAAATTCAGCTTGAGAATAGAAAATAAGTATGAATTTGACACTTAATGGAATCTTCAAGACAGACTGAGCTCTTGACCCTATTTACAGAATCAAAGAACATTAAAGTTTGAATAAACCTGATCTATTCAATTCAGAATGTATACATTAAAAGCCTATTATGCGCTAGGCATTGCGCTAGGTACAAGGGATAGAGAGATAAAAACAAACCATTTCTTGTCCTTAAGGAGCTTATAAGCAAGACAGAGAAAACATGCACACAGACAAATAATAATGCACACAGAAAAATATAACAAAATAATTTTTTTGGGGGGGGAGAGAAAGGCCTCTTGAAGGAATTGATGCTTAAGCTGAGCCTTTAATATAGATATGGATTGATTCTAAAAGGAACAAATGAGGAGGAAAAGCAAAGGTATGGAAACAAAAGATGGAATGTCATATAGGAGAAAGGGAATTCTGTGTGTGTGTGTGTGTGTGTGTGTGTGTGTGTGAGAAAGAGAGAGAGAGAGGGAGAGAGCAAAAAGTAATCAGTCAAGACAGACAGACAGTGGAGAGCGACTATGAAGGGCTTTAAATGCCAAACAATTGTTGGTATTTATACTACAGGCAACAAGAAACCACTTAGTAACTAAAGCTTTCTGAACAGCACAACGACATGGTTAAAACTATTTTGAAAAACATAAACTTGCTAACTGTGTGGAGGAATGAAAAACCTCTGGAGGCAGGGTGATCAATCAAGAGGCTATTTCAATAGTCAAATCAATAAGCAATTATTAAGCACCTACTAGGTATCAGGCACTGTGCTGAGCTCCGGGGATACAAAGAAAAGTAAAAGGGTCTCTGCTCTCAAGGAGCTCACAGTCCATATATAAACAACAATGTACAAGCAAGTTACACAAATAAGGTAGGCAATAAAATTAAGAATTAGGAAAAGCTTCTCTGCAGAAGACATGATTTTGGGTGTGACCTGAAGAAAGCCAAGAGACAGAAATGGAAAAGGACAGCATTCTAGGAATGGAGGATGGCCAATGAAATGCATGAAGTTGAGAAATGTCAGCGTCACTGGAACGCTGGACATGGAAGTTGTAAGATATATAAAATGACCAAAAGGTGAAGAAAGAGGAGGAGGAGGGGACAGGCTATGAAGGGCTTTCGTTGCCAAATTGGATTTTATATATTTTACACTTAAGGTGACAGGAAACCATTGGAGTTTAATGATTCGGGGGAAGAGATGACATGGTCAGGCCTGCTCTTTAGAAAGATTATTTTGACAGCTGACTGGAGAAGTGGGAGAGATTTGTAGCAAGAAATAAGTCAGCTGGCTATTGTAATGGTCTGAGTGTGAAGAGATGAAGGCCTGTATCAAGATGGCAGCAGAGTCAGAGGAGAGAGGGGGTATAAGTATGAAAAGTTACAAAGATAAAATTAACAGATATTAGCAACTCCCTTAGAAGTGGGAGAAGAGGAGGAGTCAAGGATGACACATAGATTGTTAGCCTGGGTGGCTGAGAGGATGTGTACCCTTGATGATAATAAGGAGATATGGAAGAGAGAAAGGTTTAGATGGAAAGATAAGTTCAAATTTTGGACATGTTGAGTCTGGGATATCTACAGGACATCCTGATCAAGTTATCCAACAGGTAGCTGGACATATAAGAACGGAACTTTAGCAAATTTGAGAATCATTAGATTCTTAATGAGATGATAACTGAATCCATGGAACTGATGAGATTAGCAAATGAAAATATAGAGGTAAAAAAAGGGCCCCAGACAGAACCCTGTGACTCACTAAAAGTTAGTGGGCATGACCTAGATGAAGATTTAGTAAAGGAGACTGACAAGAAGCTAGGAAGAGTAGAACCATGAGAGAGTAATGTCTCAAAAAACCTAGAGAGAAGAGGGTGATTTATAATGTTAAAGGATGGATAAAGGCCAAGAAGGACAAGCACTAAGAAAAGGCCATTAGATTTAGCAACTGAAAAATTATTGGTAAATAATGGAGAGAGCAGTTTATGTTGAATAAGTTCAGAAGCTAGAAAGTTAAGAAGGAAAAGAAAAGCAAGTGGAGACACTATTGTAAACATTCTTCTCAAGGAGTTTAGCCACAAAAGGCAAGACATATGGGTGGATACATGGATCAAATGAGGGTTTTTTCACTTGACACTTACTAGCTGCGTGACCATGGGTAAGTCATTTAACCCCAATTGCTTTGCCAACAACAACAAAACAAAAGTTCCTCAAAATGAGGGGTTTTTTAAGGATGATGGAAACATGGGCATGTTTGTAGATTGCAGAGAAGAAGCTAGTAGACAAGAAAAGATCAAAGATTAAGTGAGAGAAATTTTTAATAAAAGCCATCTCTCAACTGGTAAATGATCCAAAGGATATGAATAGGTAGTTTTCAGAGGAAGAAATCCAAGTTATCAATAGTTATTATTAAAAAAAATTCTCCACCCCATGAATAAAAGAAATGCAAATTAAAATAATCTGAAGTACTACCTCACATCCATAAGTTTGTCTAAGCTGACAAAAAAAGAAAATGACAAATGCTGGAGGGGCTGTGGGAAAAACATACATTAACACACTATTGGTGAAATTTTGAACTGTTCCAGGCAACCTGGAAAGCAATTTGGAACTAGGCCCCAAATGTTATTAAATTATACATACTCTTTGACCCAATGACACTACTAGTATGTCTATGTACCTCAAAAAAAAAATCAAAAAAAATGTACAAAACTACTTGTAGTAGTTTTCTTTATGGTGGGAAAGAACTGGAAACTAAAGAAGAAGAAAGGAGCAAGCATATATTAAGTGCCTACACTGAACCAGGCACTATTACTAAGTGCTTTACAAATATTATCTCATTTGATCCTCTCAAAAACTCTGTGAGGTAAGTGCCATTATTATCCCCATTTCTCAACTGAAGAAATTGAAGCAGACCAAAGTTAAGTGACTTGACCAAGGTCACACAGCCAGTAAGTATCTGAGGCTGGGTTTGAACTCTGGACTTCCTAACTTAAGGCCCAGTGCTCTAGATACATTTTAGGAGTGCCCAACAATTGGGGAATGGCTAAACAAGTTGTGATAGAATACTATTGTGCTATAAGAAATGATATAGGTGGTTTCAGCAAAACCTAAGAAAACTTATATGAACCGATACAAAGTAAAGTGAGCAGAACAATTTATACAATAATTACAATAATACAGACAAACAACTTTGAATGACTTGGGAAGTCTAATCAAAACAATGACCAACCAGTTCCAGAGGATGAAACATGCTATCCACTGCCAGATAAAGAAGTGATACATTCAAGAGTATAGGTTAAAGCGTGGGGGTGGGGGTGTGTGTGTGTGTGTGTGTGTGTGTGTGTGTGTGTGTGTGTGTGATGGGAAGGAGAGAATTCAGAATGGAAAATAAAATTTAAAAAAAAGTGAAAGAATGGAGGGGGAAATCTGCCAAAGAAGGGAAGGGATCAATCGTGCATACAGAAGAGTTTGCCTTGGCACAGAGGAAGGTTATCTCTCTTCAAGTGAGACAGGGGTAGAGGAGATAGTGGACATCTAGACGACATCTAGATGATACAAGAAGAGGAGAGGAAAAGAGGGAATTTTTCTTTTTTCTTTTTTTGGTGAGGTAATCTTGCCTTGGCAGAGAGGAAGTTACCTCTCTTCAAGCGAGACAGGGGTGGAGGAGATAGTGGACATCTAGAAGACAGCTAGATGATGCAAGAAGAGGAGAGGAAAAGAGGGAATTTTTCTTTTTTTGGTGAGGTAATCAGGGTTAAGTGACTTGCCCAGGGTCACACAGTTAGTAAGTGTCACATGTCTGAGGCCGGATTTGAACTCAGGTTTTCTTGACTCCAAGGCTGGAGCTCTATCCACTGTGCCAATTAGCTGCTCCTGAAGAGGGAATTTTTCAAAAAGTGGTTTCAGTTTCTTTAGTAAAAATATGAGGTCAGGTTCTCAGCTGGAAGGGTAGGGGAAAGGCAGTCGTGGGAAGTTTGAAGAGTCAAGAAAATATTTGGAAAAGCTGCTGTAGTGGGGTGATGTTTTCTAACAAAAATCTATCGTCAATAAAATTTGATCCAGTCAATATAATTTCATTATTTTCTCCAGCTCTGTTCATCAATACATGTGAAGGAGTGAAAACAGCTGATGGTAGCAGTGTTCTAAGGCAGAGGTTTGGCAGAGTAAGATCAGCAATATGATAAGAGGTCAAGGATCTCAAAAGAACAGGAGAATGCAGAGTTGGACTGGTTCACTAAAGGGTCAAGAAGGGGAAAGGAGAAGAATACAGTGAATGCAGGAGTGATGGCCTGGAAAAGAAATTGGTGGTGGTGGTGGTCGGGTATTGAGAGACTGGAAGTACTGGTGTGGATGGAGAACAGAATTTCGGGTAGCAAAGTAGAAGGAGAAATGGATCAGGTAAGAGAATTTTAGAGTTCATAAACACAGAAGTGGTGCATTTGTAGGTGACAGGAACATCTGGAGAGGATAGGAAACCATTGGAATTTAATGAGTTTGGGAGCAACATGGTCAGGCATACTCTTTAGAGATTATTTTGACAGGTGAGATTAAGAATAAGGCCATCTCTATGTTTTCTTTCACAACATGACTAATATGGAAATATGTTTTGCAAGACCAGACATGTATATTGAATTGCTTGTCTTCTC